CATAGCCTACACACAGTGACACACTCACACTCATAGCCTACACACACAGTGACACACTCATAGCCTACACACACAGTGACACACATAGCCTACACACACAGTGACACACTCACACTCATAGCCTACACACAGTGACACACTCACACTCATAGCCTACACACACAGTGACACACTCACACTCATAGCCTACACACACAGTGACACACTCATAGCCTACACACAGTGACACACTCATAGCCTACACACACAGTGTCACACTCATAGCCTACACACACAGTGACACACTCATAGCCTACACACACAGTGACACACTCATAGCCTACACACAGTGACACACTCACACTCATAGCCTACACACACAGTGACACACTCACACTCATAGCCTACACACACAGTGACACACTCATAGCCTACACACACAGTGACACACTCATAGCCTACACACAGTGACACACTCACACTCATAGCCTACACACACAGTGACACACTCACACTCATAGCCTACACACACAGTGACACACTCACACTCATAGCCTACACACACAGTGACACACTCATAGCCTACACACACATTGACACACTCATAGCCTACACACACAGTGACACACTCATAGCCTACACACACAGTGACACACCCATAGCCTACACACACAGTGACACACTCACACTCATAGCCTACACACACAGTGACACACCCATAGCCTACACACACAGTTACACACTCACACTCATAGCCTACACACACAGTGACACACTCACACCCATAGCCTACACACACAGTGACACACTCATAGCCTGCACACACAGTGACACACTCATAGCCTACACACACAGTGACACACTCATAGCCTACACACTCAGTGACACACTCACACTCATAGCCTACACACACAGTGACACACTCATAGCCTACACACAGTGACACACTCATAGCCTACACACACAGTGACACACTCATAGCCTACACACACAGTGACACACTCACACTCATAGCCTGCACACACAGTGACACACTCATAGCCTACACACACAGTGACACACACTCATAGCCTACACACACAGTGACACACTCATAGCCTACACACACAGTGACACACTCATAGCCTACACACACAGTGACACACTCACACTCATAGCCTACACACACAGTGACACACTCACACTCATAGCCTACACACACAGTGACACACTCACACTCATAGCCTACACACAATGACACACTCATAGCCTACACACACAGTGACACACTCACACTCATAGCCTACACACACAGGGACACACTCACACTCATAGCCTACACACACAGTGACACACTCATAGCCTACACACACAGTGACACACTCATAGCCTACACACACAGTGACACACTCATAGCCTACACACACAGTGACACACTCACACTCATAGCCTACACACAGTGACACACTCATAGCCTACACACACAGTGACACACTCACACTTATAGCCTACACACACAGTGACACACTCATAGCCTACACACACAGTGACACACTCATAGCCTACACACAGTGACACACTCATAGCCTACACACACAGTGACACACTCACACTCATAGCCTACACACACAGTGACACACTCATAGCCTACACACACAGTGACACACTCATAGCCTACACACAGTGACACACTCATAGCCTACACACACAGTGACACACTCACACTTATAGCCTACACACACAGTGACACACTCATAGCCTACACACACAGTGACACACTCATAGCCTACACACACAGTGACACACTCACACTCATAGCCTACACACTCAGTGACACACTCATAGCCTACACACAGTGACACACACACAGTGACACACTCATAGCCTACACACTCACTGACACACTCACACTCATAGCCTACACACGCAGTGACACACTCACACTCATAGCCTACACACACAGTGACACACTCACACTCATAGCCTACACACAGTGACACACTCATAGCCTACACACACAGTGACACACTCACACTCATAGCCTACACACACAGTGACACACTCATAGCCTACACACAGTGACACACTCACACTCATAGCCTACACACATAGTGACACACTCACACTCATAGCCTACACACACAGTGACACACTCATAGCCTACACACACAGTGACACACTCACACTCATAGCCTGCACACACAGTGACACACTCATAGCCTACACACACAGTGACACACTCACACTCATAGCCTACACACACAGTGACACACCTCACACACTCATAGCTACACACACGTGACACACTCATAGCCTACACACACAGTGACACACTCACACTCATAGCGTACACACACAGTGACACACTCATAGCCTACACACACAGTGACACACTCATAGCCTACACACACAGTGACACACTCATAGCCTACACACACAGTGACACACTCATAGCCTACACACACAGTGACACCTCATAGCCTACACACACAGTGACACACTCACACTCATAGCCTACACACTCAGTGACACACTCATAGCCTACACACACAGTGACACACTCACTCATAGCACTACACCACACAGTGACACACTCATAGCCTACACACACAGTGACACACTCATAGCCTACACACACAGTGACACACTCATAGCCTACACACACAGTGACACACTCACACTCACAGCCTACACACACAGTGACACACTCATAGCCTACACACACAGTGACACACTCACACTCATAGCCTACACACACAGTGACACACTCATAGCCTACACACACAGTGACACACTCATAGCCTACACACACAGTGACACACTCACACTCATAGCCTACACACACAGTGACACACTCATAGCCAACACACACAGTGACACACTCATAGCCTACACACACAGTGACACACTCACACTCACAGCCTACACACACAGTGACACACTCATAGCCTACACACACAGTGACACACTCATAGCATACACACACAGTGACACACTCACACTCATAGCCTACACACACAGTGACACACTCACACTCATAGCCTACACACACAGTGACACACTCATAGCCTACACACACAGTGACACACTCACACTCATAGCCTACACACACAGTGACACACTCATAGCCTACACACACAGTGACACACTCATAGCATACACACACAGTGACACACTCACACTCATAGCCTACACACACAGTGACACACTCATAGCCTACACACACAGTGACACACTCATAGCCTACACACACAGTGACACACTCATAGCCTACACACAGTGACACACTCACACTCATAGCCTACACACACAGTGACACACTCATAGCCTACACACAGTGACACACTCACACTCATAGCCTACACACATAGTGACACACTCACACTCATAGCCTACACACACAGTGACACACTCACACTCATAGCCTACACACACAGTGACACACTCACACTCATAGCCTACACACACAGTGACACACTCATAGCCTACACACACAGTGACACACTCACACTCATAGCCTACACACACAGTGACACACTCATAGCCTACACACACAGTGACACACTCACACTCATAGCCTACACACACAGTGACACACTCACAGCCTACACACACAGTGACACACTCATAGCCTACACACACAGTGACACACTCATAGCCTACACACACAGTGACACACTCACACTCATAGCCTACACACACAGTGACACCCACACTCATAGCCTACACACACAGTGACACACTCATAGCCTACACACACAGTGACACACTCACACTCATAGCCTACACACACAGTGACACACTCATAGCCTACACACACAGTGACACACTCATAGCCTACACACAGTGACACACTCATAGCCTACACACACAGTGACACACTCACACTCATAGCCTACACACACAGTGACACCCACACTCATAGCCTACACACACAGTGACACACTCATAGCCTACACACACAGTGACACACTCACACTCATAGCCTACACACACAGTGACACACTCATAGCCTACACACACAGTGACACACTCATAGCCTACACACAGTGACACACTCATAGCCTACACACACAGTGACACACTCACACTCATAGCCTACACACACAGTGACACACTCACACTCATAGCCTACACACACAGTGACACACTCACACTCATAGCCTACACACACAGTGTCGGCTATGAGTGTGAGTGTGTGAGTGAGTGAGTGTATGAGTGAGTGTATGAGTGAGTGTATGAGTGAGTGAGTGTATGAGTGAGTGAGTGTATGAGTGAGTGTATGAGTGAGTGAGTGTATGAGTGAGTGTATGAGTGAGTGAGTGTATGAGTGAGTGAGTGTATGAGTGAGTGAGTGTATGAGTGAGTGAGTGTATGAGTGAGTGAGTGTATGAGTGAGTGAGTGTATGAGTGAGTGAGTGTATGAGTGAGTGAGTGTATGAGTGAGTGAGTGTATGAGTGTGTATGAGTGAGTGAGTGTATGAGTGAGTGAGTGAGTGTATGAGTGAGTGAGTGAGTGTATGAGTGAGTGTATGAGTGAGTGAGTGTATGAGTGAGTGTATGAGTGAGTGAGTGTATGAGTGTGTGAGTGTAGAGTGAGTGTAGAGTGAGTGTATGAGTGAGTGTATGAGTGAGTGTATGAGTGAGTGTGTGAGTGTACGAGTGAGTGTATGAGTGAGTGTATGAGTGAGTGAGTGTATGAGTGAGTGAGTGTATGAGTGAGTGTATGAGTGAGTGTATGAGTGAGTGAGTGTATGAGTGAGTGTATGAGTGTATGAGTGAGTGTATGAGTGAGTGTATGAGTGAGTGAGTGAGTGTATGAGTGAGTGTATGAGTGAGTGAGTGAGTGTATGAGTGAGTGTATGAGTGAGTGTGTCAGTGAGTGAGTGTATGAGTGAGTGAGTGTATGAGTGAGTGAGTATATGAGTGAGTATATGAGTGAGTATATGAGTGAGTATATGAGTGAGTGTATGAGTGAGTGTATGAGTGAGTGTAGAGTGAGTGAGTGTAGAGTGAGTATCTGAGTGTTCTCCTGTGCCCAGGTCAAGCCTCTGGGTGTGATCTGGGGAAAATTTCCTGACGTGTACGGCCCAGGCAACACCATCATGCTGGACGACATTCGCAGGAACTTTCTCATGAACCCCCAGAACGGACTCAAGGTGGTGGTGGTGGTGGGGGTGGTGGTGGTGGTGGGGGTGGTGGAGGTGGTGGTGGTGGTGGTGGTGGAGGTGGTGGTGGTGGAGGTGGTGATGGTGGTGGTGGTGGTGAGGGTGGTGGTGGTGGTGATGGTGGTGGTGGTGGTGGTGGAGGTGGTGGTGGTGGTGGGGGTGGTGGTGGTGGTGGTGGAGGTGGGAGTGGAGGTGGGGGTTGAGGTGGTGGGGGTGGTGGAGGTGGGGATGGTGGTGGTGGTGGTGGTGGTGGTGGAGGTGGTGGTGGTGGTGGTGGAGGTGGTGGTGGTGGAGGTGGTGGTGGTGGTGGGGGTGGTGGAGGTGGTGGTGGTGGGGGTGGTGGTGGTGGAGGTGGTGGTGGTGGTGGTGGTGGGGGTGGTGGTGGTGGTGGTGTGTCTGTGTGTGTGTGACGGCAAAACAACCCCCTACCTCCTCGCGGTGCCAGACGGGCAACTCTGTCGTGGACAGCGCTGTGGGGGGAGATCCAATTTCGATTGGCTCCTCCCCTCATGGCATATGTGTCCACCACAGGGGCTAAACGGGGGCTCTGGACGGGTGCGAGGGGCTGGTAACCCCTCCACCTTCAATTAATTACCACAAAACCACGAATTAAACTGAAATATGTAACAACTAAGCTTGTGCCGGAGGCCCCGGGGGGCCAGGCGTCTATGACGTCTCCTGGCCAAACCCCAATTGGCGGAGCCAGGAGATTGAATCTCTACCCTCGGGGCTACTCCAGAAACAACGAAAAGCCACTACGGGTGGCCACGTGGAATGTTCGAACGCTCACTGCAGAGGAGAGGCTGCCACTCCTCTGTCGGGAGCTGGACCGGTACTGCCTGGATCTATGTGGCATTCAGGAGGTCCGGTGGACCGGCTCTGGCTCCTGCCACCATGAGGGGTGGACAGTCCTCTACTCGGGGCAGCAGACTGCCAAACAACAGGGTGTGGCTCTTCTTTTGAACAAAAGAATGAAGGGGGCGTGGGAGCGTGGTGGTGAGGTGTGGGAAGCTGTAAGCCCCAGGCTACTTTGGGCTCGCCTTCCCATCAACCGGAGGCGAGGAATGGTGGTCGTGGTTACTTATGCCCCCACCGAAGATGAACATCCGTGGAGGGATGCAGGCAAAGCCGATGAGTCAGATGCCTTCTATGACCTCCTGTCACAGGTGCTGGCTAAAGTGGCCCCTCGGGATAGAGTCATCATGTTGGGTGACTTCAATGCCCGAGTTGGTCATGATACTGGCACCTGGTCTGGAGTGATTGGAGGGCATGGGCCAGATCAGCTCAATAACAACGGTAGGAGGCTGCTAGATTTTTGTGCAGCCCATGGGCTTGTAATTACCAACACGCTGTTCCGGCATCGGCGCATCCACACAACATCATGGATGCATGCCGGGTCCAAGCAAGAACATCTGCTGGACTACATAGTGACGGACCAGCGAATGCGAGCCCATGTCCTTGACACCAGGACCTACCGTGGAGCTGATCTGCCCTCTGACCATCGACTAGTCATCTGTAAGATGCGCCTGCCATTCTTCCACTCCGGTGGTGGGTGTACACCCAGGACCCCATTCCAACCTAAAGTGGCCTGGTCTCAGTTATCTGATGAAAGTTGCAAGCGAGAATTTCATCATCGCTTGCGGCTGGGATTGGCATCGTCCCCGACTCCTCCTGATGTCGAGGGTAAATGGGCGAGGTTTAGGACTGTGACTCATGCAGCTGCAATGGCTGCTTTGGGTACGCGGTCCAGACCTCCCCAGACACCCTGGATGACAGAGGAGTTGTTCAGGATGGTTGAGAAAAAGCGACAGGCCCACTGTCATCGGCTACAGAATCCCACGTCAGAGAATGAGGAGGCTTACCGAAGCCTTAGCTCGGAGGTTCGGAGAGCCGTGAGGCGCTGCAAGGATGGGTGGTGGTCGCGGGTTGCTGAGGAGATGGAGTCTGCCTCAGTGGCCCACGATCACAAATCTCTATTTAACTCCATCAAAAAAGTAACCTGCAGCACCACACCTATTACCATCATTAGGGGAAAAAACGGTGATCCAATCTCCGACCCCCAGGAACAGGTTTGCAGATTTGCTGAGCATTTCTGTGAAGTCCTGGGGGAGGGAAAATCCCTCAGCCAGGAAAACATCGTGGCACAAAGTGAGGATGACCCTGCTGAGGCTGCGGTGCCTCAAATATTGCAAGAAGTCACCCCCTGTGAGTGGCTGGCCGAGGTGCCATCTTTTGAGGAAGTACTGAAGGCGATCTGGAGTCTGAGACCAGGAAAGGCAGCGGGCAGAGATGATCTCCCAAGCGAAATGCTGAGGGAGGGTGGCGTTTGTGCACAGACTACCCTATATGACATTATAACAACAGTCTGGACCACTGGACGGGTTCCGCAGGATTGGAAGGATGCCCTGGTGGTCCCCCTTTTTAAGAAGGGGGACCGCACAGACTGTAACAACTACAGGGGCATCTCACTCCTCAGTGTGCCGGGAAAGGTCCTGGCAAGGATTATTCAGCATCGCCTTGCCAGGCACGCTGAGGAGAGGCTTGCGGAGCCCCAATGCGGTTTCAGGAAAGGGCGGTCCTGCACAGATGCCATATTTTCTGTCCGTCTGCTACAGCAGAGGTGTAGGGAATTCCAACAAGACCTACATCTCTGCTTTATTGACCTGGTCAAGGCCTATGATACCATCAGTAGGCCTGGGCTCTGGGTCGTTCTTCGTGCTTTTGGAGTACCTGACCCTCTGCTCACGATCATTAAGGACCTTCATGATGGTGAGCGGGCCCGGGTAAAACTACGTGGCCGGGAGTCAGAGCCATTCCCTGTACACCTTGGGGTGCGACAGGGATGTCCTCTGGCTCCCACATTATTTAACATCTATTTTGACCACGTAGTTCGTGAAGCCTTCAATAGCTGTACCGGGGGAATCTCCATATGGTGCAGATATAATGGGAGGCTAATCGATGCCCGGGTGCGGTCAAGGGATGGCTCCCTATTGCTCAACCACGTTATGTATGCTGATGATTTGGTAATAGCTGCTCAGTCAGAGGAGGAGTTTGAGACGCTGCTGCTGAGACTGGAGCGTGCCACTAAGAGGTGGGGCCTTACCATCAGCCCCACCAAAACTAAGCACCTGCCTGGGTATTTTGTACCATCGGACACTCCACCCCCACAACTCCCAATCGGTGATGGGGCAGTTGTGGAGAGAGTGGAGAGTTTCCCATACCTGGGCAGTGTGCTTATGACTGGCTCCAGTTTAACAGCAGAGGTCTCACTCCGAATCAGTCGAGCGGCAATATCTTTTCATCGGTTGCGTAACGCTGTGTGGAAGCTACCTGGTCTGTCGCTCCGCACTAAGCTTCAGGTCTTCTCGGCCACGGTCATTCCCTCCCTTCTCTACGCTTGCGAAACGTGGACCCCCCTAATGGAACATCTTCGCCAGTTAGAAACATTTAGGCTGGCCTGCCTACGATCCATCCTGGGTTTAACCAGACTGGATTGTGTGAGGAGCTCACAAATCCTTGAAAGATCTGGGCAGGGTCCCATCGGTGAGCTCCTCCGGCAGGCAAGGCTGCGATGGCTGGGTCATGTAGCCCGCATGCCCAGCCACCGCATGCCGAAACAGCTTTTGTTTGGCCAGATTGAGGGGGCTAAGCGGGCGCGGCACGGGCTAGAGAAGAGATGGAGTGATGTGGTACAGGAGGACGTGGAGCTGAGTGGACTTGCCGATGACCGGTACCATCGGTGTCAAGATCGGCCTCTGTGGAGGAGGCTCGTGAAGGATGCTACTGGGCAGTTGGAGGCAGTCGCCCTCCAACAACAACGGAGGGCGGAGGAGCGACGCTCACAACAGCGAGCGGAGCGCCGGGTGGCTAAAGCACAGCAGGTTGGCACAGTAGGGGGCACAGGTGGTGCATCAGCCAGTCATCTCAGTCAGTCGACCCGTGGCACCTGGGTCTGCCCAGTGACCTCCTGCCAGCGGGCGTTCGACACTTCACGTGGCCTCAGGGTGCACATAGCCTGGCACAAGTGTCGTGGTGACGTCACCGCCACTTAGTGGCGAATGGCGGTTGTTGTTGTGTGTGTGACTGTGTGTGTGTGTGACTGTGTGTGTCACTGTGTGTGTGTGTCACTGTGTGTGTGTGTGTGACTGTGTGTCTGTGACTGTGTGTGTCTCTGTGTGACTGTGTGTGTGACTGTGTGTGTGTCTGACGATTATCTGAACCGGTCCCGGGTCTCCCCTAGGTCGACTTAGCCTCAAATGAGTACCTGGTGCGGTGTGTAAACATTGCCACTAGGGAGACAAAGGCGGTCGGGCGTGGTGCTGGCCACCCACCCCCTCGTGTACCGTTCCGGCCTTCATAGGTGCTCGCTAACAGCACTTGCCCCTACAGTCTGTTAAGGCTACACGGGGAATCTTTGTTTGTGTGTGTGACTGTGTGTGTGTGTGACTGTGTGTGTGTCTCTGTGTGTGTGTGACTGTGTGTGTGTCTCTGTGTCTGTGACTGTGTGTGTGTGTGACTGTGTGTGTGTGACTGTGTGTGTGTGTGACTGTGTGTGACTGTGTGACTGTGTGTGTGTGTGACTGTGTGTGTGTGTGACTGTGTGTGTGTGACTGTGTGTGTGACTGTGTGTGACTGTGTGTGTGACTGTGTGTGACTGTGTGTGTGTGACTGTGTGTGTGTGACTGTGTGTGTGTGTGTGACTGTGTGTGTGTGTGACTGTGTGTGTGTGTGACTGTGTGTGACTGTGTGTGTGTGACTGTGTGTGTGTGTGACTGTGTGTGTGTGTGACTGTGTGTGTGTGTGACTGTGTGTGACTGTGTGTGTGTGTGACTGTGTGTGTGTGTGTCTGTGACTGTGTGTGTGTGTCTCTGTGTCTGTGTGTGTGACTGTGTGTGTGTGTGACTGTGTGTGTGTCTGTGTGTGTGTGACTGTGTGTGTGTCTGTGTGTGTGTGACTGTGTGTGTGACTGTGTGTGTGTGACTGTGTGTGTGACTGTGTGTGTGTGTGACTGTGTGTGACTGTGTGACTGTGTGTGTGTGTGTGACTGTGTGACTGTGTGTGTGACTGTGTGTGTGTGTGACTGTGTGTGTGACTGTGTGTGTGTGTGACTGTGTGTGTGACTGTGTGTGTGTGTGACTGTGTGTGTGTGTGACTGTGTGTGTGTCACTGTGTGTGTGTGACTGTGTGTGACTGTGTGTGTGTGTGACTGTGTGTGTGTGTGACTGTGTGTGTGTGTGACTGTGTGTGTCTGTGTCTGTGACTGTGTTTGTGTGTGACTGTGTGTGTGTGTGACTGTGTGTGTGTGTGACTGTGTGTGTGTGTGTGTGACTGTGTGTGTGTGACTGTGTGTGACTGTGTGTGTGTGACTGTGTGTGACTGTGTGTGTGTGTGACTGTGTGTGTGACTGTGTGACTGTGTGTGTGTGACTGTGTGTGTGACTGTGTGTGTGTGACTGTGTGTGTGTGTGTGACTGTGTGTGTGACTGTGTGACTGTGTGTGTGTGTGTGTGACTGTGTGTGTGACTGTGTGTGTGTGACTGTGTGTGTGTGTGTGTGACTGTGTGTGTGACTGACTGTGTGATTGTGTGTGTGTGTGTGACTGTGTTTGTGTCTGTGTGTGTGACTGTGTGTGTGTGTGACTGTGTGTGTGTGTGACTGTGTGTGTGACTGTGTGTGTGTGTGTGTGTGACTGTGTGTGTGTGTGACTGTGTGTGACTGTGTGTGTGACTGTGTGTGTGTGTGACTGTGTGTGTGTGACTGTAACTGACTGTGTGTGTGACTGTGTGTGTGTGTGACTGTGTGTGTGTGTGACTGTGTGTGACTGTGTGTGTGTGTGACTGTGTGTGTGTGTGTGTGACTGTGTGTGTGTGACTGTGTGACTGTGTGTGTGTGTGTGACTGTGTGTGTCTGTGTGTGACTGTGTGTGACTGTGTGTGTGTGACTGTGTGTGTGTGTGTGACTGTGTGTGTGTGACTGTGTGACTGTGTGTGTGTGTGACTGTGTGTGTCTGTGTGTGACTGTGTGTGTGTGTGTGTGACTGTGTGTGTGTGATTGTGTGACTGTGTGTGACTGTGTGTAGATCAAGCCCTTCATGAAGGCCCACGTGACCCGTGAGAGTGATCGTGAGCTCGTGAAGCTGTCAAAGTATTTGTTGTGTGTGTGTGTGACTGTGTGTGTGTGACTGTGTGTGACTGTGTGTGTGTGTGTGTGTGACTGTGTGTGTGTGTGTGACTGTGTGTGTGTGTGTGACTGTGTGTGTGTGTGTGACTGTGTGTGTGTGTGTGACTGTGTGTGTGTGTGTGACTGTGTGTGACTGTGTGTGACTGTGTGTGTGTGTGACTGTGTGTGTGTGTGACTGTGTGTGTGTGTGTGACTGTGTGTGTGTGTGTGACTGTGTGTGTGTGTGTGACTGTGTGTGTGTGTGTGTGACTGTGTGTGTGTGACTGTGTGTGTGTGTGTGATTGTGTGTAGATCAAGCCCTTCATGAAGGCCCACGTGACCCGTGAGAGTGATCGTGAGCTCGTGAAGCTCTCAAAGTATTTGTTGTGTGTGTGTGTGACTGTGTGTGACTGTGTGTGACTGTGTGTGTGTGTGACTGTGTGTGATTGTGTGTAGATCAAGCCCTTCATGAAGGCCCACGTGACCCGTGAGACTGATCGTGAACTCGTGAAGCTCTCAAAGTATTTGTTGAAGATCGCACAGCTGGACGACTTCACCAGCCTCAATCACAAGCACTGGGAGAGGTGGGGGGAGGGGAGATTGGTGGGGGGAGATTGGTGGGGGGGGGGGGAGAGATTGGTGGGGAGAGAGTGGTGGGGAGAGATTGGTGGGGAGAGAGTGGTGGGGGGGAGATTGGTGGTGGGGAGAGATTGGTGGTGGGGGGAGATTGGTGGTGGGGAGAGGGTGGTGGGGGGGAGATTGGTGGTGGGGGAGAGATTGGTGGTGGGGGAGAGATTGGTGTGGGGGAGAGATTGTTAGGGGGGAGATTGGTGAGGTGGAGAGATTGGTGGGGGGGAGATTGGTGGGGGGGAGATTGGTGGGGGGGAGAGATTGGTGGGGAGAAAGTGGTGGGGGGGAGATTGGTGGGGGGGAGAGATTGGTGGGGGGAGATTAGTGGGGGGAGATTGGTGGGGGGGAGATTGGTAGGGGGGGAGATTAGTGGGGGGGAGAGATTGGTGGGGGGGGGAGAGATTGGTGGGGGGTGGAGATTGGTGGGGGGTGGGAGATTGGTGGGGGGGAGCGATAGTGTAGCGGTTAGCGCTACGCTGCGCTATGAACCTGGCGACCCGGGTTCGATTCCCGCTCACGGCCAACACCAGTGACGATTATCTGAACCGGTCCCGGGCCTCCCCTAGGTCGACTCAGCCTCAAATGAGTACCTGGTGCGGTGTGTAGTAAACATCGCCACTGGGGAGACAAAGGCGGTCGGGCGTGGTGCTGGCCACCCACCCCCTCGTGTACCGTTCCGGCCTTCATAGGTGCTCGCTAACAGCACTTGCCCCTACAGTCTGTTAAGGCTATATGGGGGATCTTTGTGACTGTCTGTGACTATGTGTGTGTGTGACTGTGTGTGACTGTGTGTGACTGTGTGTGACTGTGTGTGTGTGACTGTGTGTTTGTGGTGTTCCCCCAGGTACTGTGCAAAGGAGGAGGAGGAGCAGAATGAGTGAGCAGGAAGTTCCTCTCAACGATGCCGCAGTCACACCAACACACACACACCTACACACACACACACACACCTACACACACACACCTACACACACCTACACACACACCTACACACACACCTACACACACCTACACACACACCTACACACACACCTACACACACACACACCTACACACCTACACACACCTACACACACCTACACACACACACACCTACACACACACACACCTACACACACACCTACACACACACCTACACACACACACACCTACACACACACACCTACACACACACACCTACACACACACCTACACACACACACACCTACACACACACACCTACACACGCACACCTACACACACACACACCTACACACACACACACACACCTACACACACACACCTACACACACACACACCTACACACACACACCTACACACACACCTACACACACCTACACACACCTACACACACCTACACACACCTACACACACTTACACACACACACACCAACACACACACACATACACACACACACCTACACACACACACACACCAACACACACTTACACACACACACACACACCAACACACACACACCTACACACACACACCAACACACACACACCTACACACACACACCTACACACCTACACACACACCTACACACACACCTACACACACACACCTACACACACACACCTACACACACCTACACACACACACACCTACACACACACACCTACACACACACCTACACACACACCAACACACCAACACACACACCTACACACACACACCTACACACACACCTACACACACACACACCTACACACACACCTACACACACACACACCTACACACACACCTACACACACACCCACACACCTACACACACACCCACACAGCTACACACACACCTACACACACACACACACCTACACACACCTACACACACACCTACACACACACCTACACACACCTACACCTACACCTACACACACCTACACACCTACACACACACACACACCTACACACACACACACCTACACACACCTACACACACACACACCTACACACACACACACCTACACACACACACCTACACACACACACACCTACACACACACCTACACACACACCTATACCTACACACACCTACACACACCTACACACACACCTACACACACCTACACACACACCTACACACACACACCTGCACACACACACCTACACACACACACCTACACACACACCTACACACACACACACCTACACACACACACACCTACACACACACACCTACACACACACACCTACACACACACACCTACACACACACACCTACACACACACACCTACACACCTACACACCTACACACACCTACACACCTACACACACCTACACACACACACCTACACAAACACACACCTACACACACCTACACACACACACCTACACACACACACCTACACACACACACCTACACACACACACACACCTACACACACACACACCTACACACACACCTACACACACACACACCTACACACACACACACCTACACACACACACACCTACACACACACACCTACACACACACACCTACACACACACACCTACACACACACACCTACACACACACCCCCACACATACACCTACACACCTAAACACACACCTGCACACACACCTACACCTACACACACCTACACAAACCTACACCTACACACACATACACCTACACATAACACTTACACACCTACACACATAACACCTACACACCTACACATACACCTATACACACATACAAACCTACACACACACACCTACACACACATACACCTACACACAAACACACCTACACACACATACACCTACACACACATACACCTACACACACATACACCTACACACAAACACACACATACACCTACACACACACCTACACACACACACCTACACACACACACACCTACATACACACACCTACACACACACACCTACACACACACACCTACACACAAACACACCTACACACAAACACACCTACACACACATACACCTACACACACATACACCTACACACACATACACCTACACACACATACACACAAACACACCTACACACAAACACACCTACACACAAACACACCTACACACACACCTACACACACACACCTACACACACACACCTACACACACCTACACACACACACCTACACACATACATACACACCTACACACACCCCTAAACACCTACACACACCTACACCTACGCACACACATACACCTACATACACACACATAACACCTACACACATAACACCTACACACATACACACACACACCTACACACACACCTACACACACCTAAGAATGGGGAGATGTTGACTACCTCGCCTGGTATACAGGAGGTCGTGGGTTCCATCCTGACAATGGGGAGATGTTGACTACCTCGCCTGGTCTACAGGAGGTCGTGCGTTCCATCCTGACAATGGGGAGATGTTGATTACCTCGCCTGGTCTACAGGAGGTCGTGGGTTCGATCCTGACAATGGAGAGATGTTGACTACCTCGCCTGGTCTACAGGAGGTCGTGGGTTCCATCCTGACAATGGGGAGATGTTGACTACCTCGCCTGGTATACAGGAGGTCGTGGGTTCCATCCTGACAATGGTGAGATGTTGACTACCTCGCCTGGTACACAGGAGGTTGTGGGTTCGATCCTGACAATGGGGAGATGTTGACTACCTCGCCTGGTCTACAGGAGGTCGTGGGTTCGGCCCCTTGACCCTGGCGATGCCTCTCGCTGCTGCTGCTGTGTATTTGGAGTCTGCGTCTCTCGCTGCGTGATCAGTGATTTGACTGCTGATATAAGCTTCCGCACGGCGATGGTGGTGGTGATGGTGAGGGTCGTGGTGAGGGTGGTGGTGATGGTCGTGGTGAGGGTGAGGTTAGTGGTGAGCATGTTGGTTGCACCTGTGGGGTTTGGTGCGAGCGAAATACGTTACTCGAAATAAAACTCTTAAAGTCCTGATTGTGTCTGTGTGAGTGTCTGTGTGAGTCTCTTTGTGTGGGTCTGTGTGCGTCTGAGTGTGTGTCTGTGTGTGTGAGTGGGGTCTCTGTGTGTGGGTCTGTGTGAGTCTCTTTGTGTGTCTGTGAATGTGTTTGTGTCTGTGTGAGTCTCTTTGTGTGTCTGTGAATGTGTTTGTGTCTGTGTGTCTGTGAGTGTCTGTATCTGTGTGTGTGTGAGTGTGTCTCTGTGTGTGTCTGTGTCTGTCTGTGAGTGAGTGTGTCTGTATCTGTGTGTGTCTGTGAGTGAGTGTGTCTGTGTGTCTGTGAGTGAGTGTGTCTGTGTCTGTATCTGTCTGTGTGTGTCTGTGTCTGTCTGTGTGTGTCTGTGTCTGTGAGTGTGTCTGTGTGTGTCCGTGTGTGTGTCTGTGTGTGTGTGTCTGTGTGTGTGTCTGTGTGTGTGTCTGTGCAACACCGCGCCCATCACCATCCTTCAGGACAACGGTGATCTCCCGTGCAGCAATCATCAGGTGCGTGCAGTGCGTCACTCAGATATTCATTTTATTTTTAAACCGAATCGACTTTAAAATCAACACCAGGTCACCAGGTCATCTGGTCAGATCAACAGGTCACCAGGTCATCTCGTCAGGTCACCAGGTCATCTGGTCAGGTCACCTGGTCACCAGGTCATCTGATCAGGTCACCGGGTGACCAGCTCACCAGATCACCAGCTCACCCCGGTGGTGGTGATGGTGGTGGAGGCGGTGGTGGTGGTGATCACTGTGTGGTGGTGATCACTGTGGTGGTGATCACTGTGGTGGTGGTGATCACTGTGGTGTGGTGATCACTGTGGTGGTGGTGATCACTGTGGTGGTGATCACTGTGGTGGTGATCACTGGTGGTGGTGATCACTGGTGGTGGTGATCACTGTGATGGTGGTGATCACTGTGGTGGTGATCACTGGTGGTGGTGATCACTGTGGTGGTGGTGGTGATCACTGTGGTGATGGTGTTGGTGATCACTGTGGTGTGGTGATCACTGTGGTGGTGATGATCACTGTGGTGGTGGTGATCACTGTGGTGGTGGTGATCACTGTGGTGGTGGTGATCACTGTGGTGGTGGTGATCACTGTGGTGGTGATCACTGTGGTGGTGGTGGTGATCACTGTGGTGATGGTGTTGGTGATCACTGTGGTGTGGTGATCACTGTGGTGGTGATGATCACTGTGGTGGTGGTGATCACTGTGGTGGTGGTGATCACTGTGGTGGTGGTGATCACTGTGGTGGTGATCACTGTGGTGGTGATCACTGTGTGGTGGTGATCACTGTGGTGATGGTGATCACTGTGTAGTGGTGGTGATCACTGTGGTGATGGTGTTGGTGATCACTGTGGTGGTGATCACTGTGGTGGTGATCACTGTGATGGTGGTGGTGATCACTGTGTAGTGGTGTTGATCACTGTGTGGTGGTGATCACTGTGGTGATGGTGATCATTGTGTAGTGGTGGTGATCACTGTGGTGATGGTGTTGGTGATCACTGTGGTGGTGATCACTGTGGTGGTGATCACTGTGATGGTGGTGGTGATCACTGTGTAGTGGTGTTGATCACTGTGATGGTGGTGATCACTGTGATGGTGGTGGTGATCACTGTGATGGTGATCACTGTGGTGATGATCACTGTGGTGTTGGTGTTCACTGTGATGGTGGTGTGGTGATGGTGTTGGTGATCACTGTGATGATGGTGATCACTGTGGTGGTGATCACTGTGATGGTGGTGTGGTGATGGTGATCACTGTGGTGATGGTGTTCACTGTGGTGTTGGTGTTCACTGTGATGGTGTTGGTGTTCACTGTGGTGTTGGTGTTCACTGTGATGGTGTTGGTGATCACTGTGGTGTTGGTGTTCACTGTGATGGTGTTGGTGATCACTGTGGTGTTGGTGTTCACTGTGATGGTGTTGGTGTTCACTGTGATGGTGTTGGTGTTGGTGTTCACTGTGGTGTTGGTGTTCACTGTGATGGTGTTGGTGTTGGTGTTCACTGTGGTGTTGGTGATCACTGTGATGGTGTTGGTGTTCACTGCGGTGGTGGTGTGGTGATGGTGTTCACTGTGATGGTGATCACTGTGATGGTGTTCACTGTGGTGTTGGTGTGGTGATGGTGATGGTGTTCACTGTGGTGGTGGTGTAGTGATGGTGATGGTGTTCACTGTGGTGTTGGTGTTCACTGTGGTGATGGTGTTGGTGTTCACTGTGATGGTGATCACTGTGGTGATGGTGTTGGTGTTCACTGTGGTGGTGGTGATCACTGTGATGGTGGTGTTGGTGTTCACTGTGGTGGTGATGGTGTTGGTGATGGTGTTGGTGATCACTGTGGTGTTCACTGTGGTGTTGGTGTTGGTGTTCACTGTGGTGTGGCGAGGTCCTGGTGCATGGCTGTGGTGACGGTGATGGTGATCACTGTGGTGATGGTGTTGGTGATGGTGTTGGTGTTCACTGTGGTGATGGTGATGGTGTTCACTGTGATGATGGTGTTGGTGTTCACTGTGGTGATGGTGATGGTGTTCACTGTGATGATGGTGTTGGTGTTCACTGTGGTGTGGCGAGGTGTTGGTGATCACTGTGGTGTTGGTGTTCACTGCGGTGGTGGTGATGGTGTTCACTGTGGTGTGGCGAGGTGCTGGTGCATGGCTGCGGTGACGGTGATGGTGATCACTGTGGTGATGGTGATCACTGTGGTGATGGTGTTCACTGTGGTGTGGCGAGGTGCTGGTGCATGGCTGTGGTGTTGGTGATGGTGTTCACTGTGGTGTGGCGAGGTGCTGGTGCATGGCTGTGGTGATGGTGATGGTGTTCACCGTGATGGTGATCACTGTGGTGTTGGTGTTGGTGTTCACTGTGGTGATGGTGATGGTGTTCACTGTGGTGGTGGTGTAGTGATGGTGATGGTGTTCACTGTGGTGTTGGTGTTCACTGTGGTGATGGTGATGGTGTTCACTGTGATGGTGATCACTGTGGTGTTGGTGTTGGTGTTCACTGTGGTGTGGCGAGGTGCTGGTGCATGGCTGTGGTGACGGTGATGGTGTTCACTGTGATGATGGTGATGGTGTTGGTGTTCACTGTGATGATGGTGTTGGTGATGGTGTTCACTGTGGTGTGGCGAGGTGCTGGTGACGGTGATGGTGTTCACTGTGGTGTGGCGAGGTGCTGGTGCATGGCTGTGGTGTTCACTGTGGTGACGGTGATGGTGTTCACTGTGATGATGGTGATGTTGGTGATCACTGTGGTGTGGCGAGGTGCTGGTGCATGGCTGTGGTGACGTGCCCCAGGCGTGCCGTGGGAACCAGCAGCACGCTCCGGAGAGACTCCATCTGGAGGTCGCCCGGGGACCAGCGCCCGCCCAGCAGCGAGTCCACCCCCGTGACCCCCGTGACCCCCGTGACCCCCGTGACCCCCGTGACCCCCGGCTCGTCCACGCTGCCCGCGGAGGCACCCACTGGGTAGGAGAACGTCAGCTCGGCCTGCTGCTCACACACACACACACAGAGACACACATACACACATAGACACATAGACATACACACATAGACACACAGTCACATAGACATACACACACATAGACACACAGTCACATAGACATACACACACATACAGATACATACACACACACACATAGTCACACACACACACACAGAGAGACACACATACAGTCACATAGACACACACACACACATACACACACACACATACACACACATAGACATACACACACACACAGTCACATAGACATACAGATACATACATAGACACACACACACACACATAGTCACACACACACAGAGACACACATACAGATACATACACACACACACATACAGATACATACACACACACATAGTCACACACAGACATACACACACAGATACATACACACACACATACAGATACATACACACACACATAGTCACACACAGACATACACACACAGAGACATAGACACACACATAGACATACACACATAGACACACAGTCACATAGACATACACACATACATAGACACATAGACACACAGTCACATAGACACACAGACAGTCACACACACACATAGACATACACACATAGACACACAGACAGTCACACACACACACACATAGACACACACATAGACATACACACATAGACATAGACACACACACAGAGACACATAGACACACACATACAGATACATACACACACACATACAGATACATACACACACACATACACACATAGACACATAGACACACAGACACACAGACAGTCACACACACACATAGACATACCCACATAGACACATAGACATACACATAGACATACACACAGTCACACACACATAGTCACACACAGTCACACACACACACATAGTCACACACACAGATACATACATACATAGAGACACAAACACACACATACAGATACATACACACACAGATACATACACAGTCACACACAGACATACACACACATACATACATAGACACACACACACAGACACACACCCAGATACATACACACACACACATAGTCACACACAGACATACACACACATACATAGACACGCATAGACACACACAGACACACATACAGATACATACACACACACAGTCACACACAGACATACACACACATACATAGACACACACACAGTCACACACAGACATACACACACATACATACATAGACACACATAGACACACACACAGATACATACACACACACACACACATAGTCACACACAGACATACACACATACATAGACACACATAGACACACACACAGATACATACACACACAGACATACACACACATACATAGACACACATAGACACACACACACAGACACACATACAGATGCATACACACACACACATAGTCACACACAGACATACACACACATACATAGACACACATAGACACACACACAGATACATACATACATAGAGACACAAACACACACATACAGATACATACACACACAGATACATACACAGTCACACACAGACATACACACACATACATACATAGACACACACACACAGACACACACCCAGATACATACACACACACACATAGTCACACACAGACATACACACACATACATAGACACACATAGACACACACAGACACACATACAGATACATACACACACACAGTCACACACAGACATACACACACATACATAGACACACACACAGTCACACACAGACATACACACACATACATAGACACACATAGACACACACACAGATACATACACACACACACACACATAGTCACACACAGACATACACACATACATAGACACACATAGACACACACACAGATACATACACACACAGACATACACACACATACATAGACACACATAGACACACACACACAGACACACATACAGATGCATACACACACACACATAGTCACACACAGACATACACACACATACATAGACACACATAGACACACACACACACACAGACAGACACACATACAGATACATACACACACACACACATAGTCACACACAGACATACACACACATACATAACCACACATAGACACACACACACAGACACACATACAGATACATACACACACACATAGTCACACACAGACATAGACACGCACACACACAGACACACACACATAGACATAGACACACACATAGACACATAGACATAGACACACACACACATAGACACACACATAGACACACACACGCACAGACATACACATACAGATACATACACACACAGTCACACACAGACACATACAGACACACAGTCACATACACACACACATAGACACACACACACATAGACACACACACATAGACACACACATACAGATACATACATACACACACACATACACACATAGACACAGACACACATAGACACACGTACACACACACACACATACACACACACATAGACATAGACACACACAAAGAGATACACACACAGTCACACACAGACATAGACACACATAGACACATACAAACATAGACACACATAGACATAGACACACACATAGACATAGACACACACATAGACACAGACACACAGACACACAGACACACACACAGACACACACACACAGACACATAGACACACACAGACACACATACACACATAGACACATACACACACACACATAGACACGCACACATGCACACAGACACATAGACACACATATAGACACATAGACACACAGACACATACACACATAGACACACATACACACATATAGACACATATACACACACATAGACACACATAGACACACACTTAGACATAGACATGCACACACACACATAGACGCACACACACACATAGACACACACACACACGCACACATACACACACGCACACATACACACGCACACATACACACACACATACATACACACACATAGACACACACACACATAGACACACACACACATAGACAGACACACACACACACATAGACACACACACACATACACACGCACACACACACATAGACACACACACACGCACACACAGACACACACACGCACATAGACACACACACAGACACACACACACACGCACGCACACACACACACGCACGCAGACACACACAGACACACGCACACACGCACATAGACACACATACACACATATGGTGGGGGGGGGGGTGAGTGGGAGGGTGAGTGAGTGAGTGTATGAGTGAGTGTATGAGTGAGTGAGTGTATGAGTGAGTGTATGAGTGAGTGAGTGTGTGAGTGAGTGTATGAGTGAGTGTATGAGTGAGTGAGTGTATGAGTGAGTGAGTGTATGAGTGAGTGAGTGTATGAGTGAGTGTATGAGTGAGTGAGTGAGTGTATGAGTGAGTGTATGAGTGAGTGAGTGTATGAGTGAGTGTATGAGTGAGTGAGTGTGTGAGTGAGTGTATGAGTGAGTGTATGAGTGAGTGAGTGTATGAGTGAGTGAGTGTATGAGTGAGTGAGTGTATGAGTGAGTGTATGAGTGAGTGAGTGAGTGTATGAGTGAGTGTATGAGTGAGTGTATGAGTGAGTGTATGAGTGAGTGTATGAGTGAGTGAGTGAGAGTATGAGTGAGTGAGTGTATAAGTGAGTGTATGAGTGAGTGTATGAGTGAATGAGTGAGTGTATGAGTGAGTGAGTGTATGAGTGAGTGTATGAGTGAGTGAGTGAGAGTATGAGTGAGTGAGTGTATGACTGAGTGAGTGTATGAGTGAGTGTATGAGTGAGTGTATGACTGAGTGAGTGTATGAGTGAGTGAGTGAGTGTATGACTGAGTGAGTGTATGAGTGAGTGAGTGTATGAGTGAGTGTATGAGTGAGTGTATGAGTGAGTGTATGAGTGAGTGAGTGTATGAGTGAGTGAGTGTATGAGTGAGTGAGTGTATGAGTGAGTGAGTGAGTGTATGAGTGAGTGAGTGTATGAGTGAGTGAGTGTATGAGTGAGTGTATGAGTGAGTGTGTGAGTGAGTGAGTGTATGAGTGAGTGTATGAGTGAGTGAGTGTATGAGTGAGTGAGTGTATGAGTGTATGAGTGAGTGAGTGTATGAGTGAGTGAGTGTATGAGTGAGTGAGTGTATGAGTGAGTGTATGAGTGAGTGAGTGTATGAGTGAGTGAGTGTATGAGTGTATGAGTGAGTGTATGAGTGAGTGAGTGAGTGTATGAGTGAGTGTATGAGTGAATGAGTGAGTGTATGAGTGAGTGAGTGTATGAGTGTATGAGTGAGTGTATGAGTGAGTGAGTGAGTGTATGAGTGAGTGTATGAGTGTATGAGTGAGTGTATGAGTGAGTGAGTGTATGAGTGAGTGAGTGTATGAGTGAGTGTATGAGTGAGTGAGTGTATGAGTGAGTGAGTGTATGAGTGTATGAGTGAGTGAGTGTATGAGTGAGTGTGTGAGTGTATGAGTGAGTGTACGAGTGAGTAAATGAGTGTATGAGTGAGTGAGCGAGTGAGTGTACGAGTGAGTGAGTGTATGAGTGAATGAGTGAGTGTATGAGTAAGTGAGTGTATGAGTGAGTGTATGAGTGAGTGTATGATTGAGTGAGTGTATGAGTGAATGAGTGAGTGTATGAGTGAATGAGTGAGTGTATGAGTGAGTGTACGAGTGAGTGAGTGTATGAGTGAATGAGTGAGTGTATGAGTGAGTGTATGAGTGAGTGTGTGAGTGAGTGTGTGAGTGAGTGTGTGAGTGAGTGTGTGAGTGAGTGTGTGAGTAAGTGAGTGTATGAGTGAGTGAGTGTATGAGTGAGTGAGTGGCCATCACCTCGTAAAAGAACTCCTCCTCGGCGTTTAGAAACATCAACTCCCCCTTCTGTTCACCGCCACCACCACCACCACCACCGCCACCACCACCACCACCACCACCGCCACCACCACCACCACCACCGCCGCCACCACCACCACCACCACCGCCACCACCACCACCACCACGAGTAGCTCCCACACCTACAGCTCCTCCTCCCCCCTCGACGCAGGTCTTACACACAAGGAGGTAGTAGCTAAAGCCTCCAGCTGCCTGCGATGGCATTGTGGTGGTGGTGGTGGTGGTTGTGGTGGTGGTGGTGGTTGTGGTGGTTGTGGCGGTGGTGGTGCCACAACCACCCCCGCCGGCAAGCCGCTTGGTACGGTCCAGCGACACCAACTCCTTGCTGGGCACCAGGAAGAGAGAGGAGTGGAAGGGGTGAGTGGAGGGGTGAGTGGAGGGGTGAGTGGAGGGGTGAGTGGAGGGGTGAGTGGAGGGGTGAGTGGAGGGGTGAGTGGAGGGGTGAGTGTATGAGTGAGTGAGTGTATGAGTGAGTGTATGAGTGAGTGTAGAGTGAGTGAGTGTAGAGTGAGTGTAGAGTGAGTGAGTGTAGAGTGAGTGTATGAGTGAGTGTATGAGTGAGTGAGTGAGTGTATGAGTGAGTCTATGAGTGAGTGTATCAGTGAGTGAGTGTATGAGTAAGGGAGTGTATGAGTGGGTGAGTGCATGAGTGAGTGTATGAGTGAGTGAGTGTATGAGTGAGTGTATGAGTGAGTGAGTGTATAAGTGAGTGTATAAGTGAGTGTATAAGTGAGTGTATGAGTGAGTGTATGAGTGAGTGTATAAGTGAGTGTATGAGTGAGTGTATAAGTGAGTGTATGAGTGAGTGAATGTATGAGTGAGTGTATGAGTGAGTGTATGAGTGAGTGAGTGTATGAGTGAGTGTATGAGTGAGTGAGTGTATGAGTGAGTGTATGAGTGAGTGAGTGAGTGTATGAGTGAGTGAGTGTATGAGTGAGTGAGTGTATGAGTGAGTGAGTGTATGAGTGTACAAGTGAGTGAGTGTGTAAGTGAGTGAGTGAATGTACAAGTGAGTGTATGAGTGAGTGTGTGAGTGAGTGTATGAGTGAGTGTATGAGTGTATGAGTGAGTGAGTGTACGAGTGAGTGAGTGTATGAGTGAGTGAGTGTATGAGTGTGTGTATGAGTGAGTGAGTGTATGAGTGAGTGTATGAGTGAGTGAGTGTATGAGTGAGTGAGTGTATGAGTGAGTGAGTGTATGAGTAAGTGAGTGTACAAGTGAGTGTATGAGTGTGTAAGTGAGTGTGTGAGTGTATGAGTGAGTGTATGAGTGAGTGAGTGTATGAGTGAGTGCATGAGTGAGTGAGTGTACGAGTGAGTATATGAGTGAGTGAGTGAGTGTATGAGTGAGTGTATGAGTGAGTGTATGAGTGAGTGAGTGTGTAAGTGTGTAAGTGAGTGTATGAGTGAGTGAGTGAGTGTATGAGTGAGTGAGTGAGTGTATGAGTGAGTGTATGAGTGAGTGTATGAGTGAGTGAGTATGAGTGAGTGAGTATGAGTGAGTGTATGAGTGAGTGTATGAGTGAGTGAGTGTATGAGTGAGTGTATGAGTGAGTAAGTGTATGAGTGAGTGTATGAGTGAGTAAGTGAGTGAGTGTGTGAGTGTATGAGTGAGTGAGTGTATGAGTGAGTGTATGAGTGAGTGAGTGTATGAGTGAGTGTATGAGTGAGTGAGTGTATGAGTGAGTGTATGAGTGAGTGAGTGTATGAGTGAGTGAGTGTATGAGTGAGTGTATGAGTGAGTGTATGAGTGAGTGTATGAGTGAGTGAGTGTATGAGTGAGTGAGTGTATGAGTGTATGAGTGAGTGTATGAGTGAGTGAGTGTATGAGTGAGTGTATGAGTGAGTGTATGAGTGAGTGTATGAGTGAGTGAGTGTATGAGTGAGTGTATGAGTGAGTGTATGAGTGAGTGAGTGTATGAGTGAGTGTATGAGTGAGTGTATGAGTGAGTGAGTGTATGAGTGAGTGTATGAGTGAGTGAGTGTACAAGTGTGTAAGTGAGTGAGTGCCGCACCCCAGCTGAGAGTGTAGCGGCAGGGCGACGTGTGGAGGCACATTGAGGAATCTCTCGCACAGCAAGAGGCCCACAGGCCGGGCCTTGTTGGCCAGGGCGGCCCGGAGGCCGGCTGCTGTGGTGGGGTCGGCCGCGTGGGCCAGCGACACGAGAACAGAGCAGAGCTGGGAGAGGCACGGGGCCAGCTGGGGACACAGAATCACTCACTCAGTCACTCACTCATACACTCACTCAGTCACTCACTCAGTCATACACTCACTCATACACTCACTCAGTCACACACTAATACACTCATACACTCACTCATACACTCACTCATACACTCACTCATACACTCACTCAGTCACTCACTCAGTCACTCACTCACTCATACACTCACTCATACACTCACTCATACACTCACTCATACACTCACTCAGTCACTCACTCAGTCACTCACTCACTCAGTCACTCACTCATACACTCACTCAGTCACTCACTCAGTCACTCACTCACTCATACACTCACTCACTCATACACTCACTCACTCACTCATACACTCACTCACTCACTCATACACTCACACACTCACTCATACACTCACTCACTCACTCATACACTCACTCACTCACTTATACACTCACTCACTCATACACTCACTCATACACTCACTCATACACTCACTCATACACTCACTCACTCACTGAAACACTCACTCATACACTCACTCACTCATACACTCACTCACTCACTCACACACTCACTCATACACTCACTCATACACTCACACACTCACTCACTCATACACTCACTCATACACTCACTCATACACTCACTCATACACTCACTCACTCATACACTCACTCATACACTCACTCACTCAGTCACTCACTCACTCATACACTCACTCACTCATACACTCACTCACTCATACACTCACTCACTCATACACTCACTCACTCACTCATACACTCACTCACTCATACACTCACTCACTGAAACACTCACTCACTCACTCATACACTCACTCACTCATACACTCACTCATACACTCACTCACTCACTCATACACTCACTCACTCACTCATACACTCACTCACTCATACACTCACTCATACACTCACTCACTCACTCATACACTCACTCACTGAAACACTCACTCACTCACTCATACACTCACTCACTCATACACTCACTCACTCACTCATACACTCACTCATACACTCACTCATACACTCACTCACTCATACACTCACTCACTCACACACTCATTCACTGAAACACTCACTGAAACACTCACTGAAACACTCACTGAAACACTCACTCACTCACTCATACACTCACTCATACACTCACTCATACACTCACTCATACACTCACTCACTCATACACTCACTCACTCATACACTCACTCAAACACTCACTCACACTCACTCACCCACTCACTCACACTCACTCACCCACTCACTCACTCACTCACCCACTCACTCACTCACTCATACACTCACTCATACACTCACTCATACACTCACTCACTCATACACTCACTCATACACTCACTCACTCATACACTCACTCACTCACTCACACACTCACTCATACACTCACTCATACACTCACTCACTCATACACTCACTCATACACTCACTCACTGAAACACTCACTCACTCACTCATACACTCACTCACTCACTCATACACTCACTCATACACTCACTCACTCACTCATACACTCACTCACTCATACACTCACTCATACACTCACTCATACACTCACTCATACACTCACTCACTCATACACTCACTCACTCACTCATACACTCACTCACTGAAACACTCACTCACTCACTCATACACTCACTCACTCATACACTCACTCACTCATACACTCACTCATACACTCACTCACTCACTCATACACTCACTCACTGAAACACTCACTGAAACACTCACTCACTCACTCATACACTCACTCACTGAAACACTCACTCATACACTCACTCATACACTCACTCACTCATACACTCACTAAAACACTCACTCACTCATACACTCACTCACTCAAACACTCACTCACCCACTCACTCACTCACCCACTCACTCACTCATACACTCACTCACTCACTCATACACTCACTCACTCACTCATACACTCACTCATACACTCACTCACTCATACACTCACTCACTCACTCATACACTCACTCACTGAAACACTCACTCACTCACTCATACACTCACTCACTCATACACTCACTCACTCATACACTCACTCACTCATACACTCACTCACTGAAACACTCACTGAAACACTCACTCACTCACTCATACACTCACTCACTGAAACACTCACTCATACACTCACTCATACACTCATACACTCACTAAAACACTCACTCACTCATACACTCACTCACTCAAACACTCACTCACCCACTCACTCACTCACCCACTCACTCACTCATACACTCACTCACTCATACACTCACTCATACACTCACTCACTCATACACTCACTCATACACTCACTCATACACTCACTCACTCATACACTCACTCACTCACTCATACACTCACTCACTCATACACTCACACTCACTCACTCACTCATACACTCACTCACTCATACACTCACTCATACACTCACTCACTCATACACTCACTCATACACTCACTTATACACTCACTCACTCATACACTCACTCACTCGTACACTCACTCACTCATACACTCACTCGTACACTCACTTATACACTCACTCATACACTCAATCATACACTCACTCATACACTCAATCATACACTCACTCATACACTCACTCACTCGTACACTCACTCATACACTCACTCACTCATACACTCACTCACTCATACACTCACTCACTCATACACTCACTCACTCATACACTCACTCATACACTCACTCACTCATACACTCACTCACTCATACACTCACTCACTCATACACTCACTTGTGCACTCACTTGTACACTCACTCACTCATACACTCACTCACTCACTTGTACACTCACTCATACACTCACTCATACACTCACTCACTCATTTGTACACTCACTCATACACTCACTCACTCACTCATACACTCACTCATACACTCAGACACTCACTCACTCACTCATACACTCACTCATACACTCACTCACTCATAAACTCACTCACTCACTTACACACTCACTTGTACACTCATACACTCACTCACTCATACACTCACTCATACACTCACTCACTCACACACTCACTCATTCACTCGCTGAAACACTCGCTCACTCATACACTCACTAATACACTCACTCACTCATACACTCACTCAAACACTCACTCATACACTCACTCACTCATACACCCACTCACTCACCCACCCACTCACCCACTCACCCACCCACTCACCTACCCACTCACTCACCCACACACCCACCCACTCACTCACCTACCCACCCACCCACTCACCCACCCACCCACTCACTCACCCACCCACCCACTCACCCACTCACTCACTCACCCACCCACTCACTCACCCACTCACCCACCCACTCACCCACCCACTCACCCACCCACTCACCCACCCACTCACCCACCCACTCACTCACCTACCCACTCACCCACTCACCCACACACTCACTCACCCACACACTCACTCACTCACACACTCACCCACCCACTCACCACTCACCCACCCACTGACCACTCACTCACCCACTCACCACTCACTCACCCACCCACCTGTTTGTCTGACAGGCTGATGAGGGTTATGAATCCGAAGACTTCGTCTTGACTCTCATCATCATCGTCACTGTCGTCAGAGACTGGAGCTTGCTGTTCACGTGCACACACAGGTAGAGGCAAAGCTCCCCCAGGTAGCCTCCAGCAGGGCTGCAGGGGCAAGTGCTGAGACACAGACAAAGCTCCCCCAGGTAGCCTCCAGCAGGGCTGTAGGGGCAAGTGCTGAGACACAGACAAAGCTCCCCCAGGTAGCCTCCGGCAGGGCCGCAGGGGCAAGTGCTGAGACACAGACAAAGCTCCCCCAGGTAGCCTCCAGCAGGGCTGTAGGGGCAAGTGCTGAGACACAGACAAAGCTCCCCCAGGTAGCCTCTAGCGGGGCCGTAGGGGCAAGTGCTGAGACACAGACAAAGCTCCCCCAGGTAGCCTCTAGCGGGGGCCGCAGGGGCAAGTGCTGAGACACAGACAAAGCTCCCCCAGGTAGTCTCTAGCAGGGCCGCAGGGGCAAGTGCTGAGACACAGACAAAGCTCCCCCAGGTAGCCTCTAGCAGGGCTGTAGGGGCAAGTGCGGAGACACAGACAAAGCTCCCCCAGGTAGCCTCTGGCAGGGCGGTAGGGGCAAGTGCTGAGACACAGACAAAGCTCCCCCAGGTAGCCTCTAGCAGGGCTGTAGGGGGCAAGTGCTGAGACACAGACAAAGCTCCCCCAGGTAGCCTCTAGCAGGGCCGTAGGGGCAAGTGCTGAGACACAGACAAAGCTCCCCCAGGTAGCCTCCAGCAGGGCTGTAGGAGCAAGTGCTGAGACACAGACAAAGCTCCCCCAGGTAGCCTCTGGCAGGGCTGCAGGGGCAAGTGCTGAGACACAGACAAAGCTCCCCCAGGTAGCCTCCGGCAGGGCTGTAGGGGCAAGTGCTGAGACACAGACAAAGCTCCCCCAGGTAGCCTCTGGCAGGGCTGTAGGGGCAAGTGCTGAGACACAGACAAAGCTCCCCCAGGTAGCCTCTAGCAGCGCTGTAGGGGTAAGTGCTGAGCCACAGACAAAGCTCCCCCAGGTAGCCTCTAGCAGGGCTGTAGGGGCAAGTGCTGAGACACAGACAAAGCTCCCCCAGGTAGCCTCTAGCAAGGCTGTAGGGGCAAGTGCTGAGACACAGACAAAGCTCCCCCAGGTAGCCTCTAGCAAGGCTGTAGGGGCAAGTGCTGAGACACAGACAAAGCTCCCCCAGGTAGCCTCTAGCAGGAGGGCTGTAGGGGCAAGTGCTGAGACACAGACAAAGCTCCCCCAGGTAGCCTCTGGCAGGGCTGTAGGGGCAAGTGCTGAGACACAGACAAAGCTCCCCCAGGTAGCCTCTGGCAGGGCTGCAGGGGCAAGTGCTGAGACACAGACAAAGCTCCCCCAGGTAGCCTCCGGCAGGGCTGTAGGGGCAAGTGCTGAGACACAGACAAAGCTCCCCCAGATAGCCTCTAGCAGGGCTGTAGGGGCAAGTGCTGAGACACAGACAAAGCTCCCCCAGGTAGCCTCTAGCAGGAGGGCTGTAGGGGCAAGTGCTGTAAGTGGCCCCTGGGTCTGTTGGTACCTTGAGTACACTGCCCAAGTCCGGGTTGTTGACGATGAGGTTAGCAAGCGCCGTCACATCCACCACAGTCTTGCGGAACAGCTGCACACACACACAGACACACACACACAGACACACACACAGACACACAGATACACACACACACACAGACACACACACACACACACAGATACACACACACACACACAGACACACACACACACACACAGATACACACACAGACACACACACAGATACACACAGACACACACACACAGATACACACAGACACACACACACAGACACATACACAGACACACACACACACAGACACACACAGATACACACACAGACAGATACACACAGATACACACACAGACACACACACACACACAGATACACACACACACACAGACACACACACAGATACACACACAGATACACATACACAGATACACATACACACACACACAGACATACACACAGACATACACACACACACACAGACACACACACACACACACAGACACACACACACAGACATACACACAGATACACACACAGACAGATACACACAGACACACACACAGATACACAGACACATACATACACACACACACGTACACAGATACAGATACACAGACACACACATATACACACACAGACATACACACACACACAGACATACACACACACACAGATACACACACACACACACACAGATACACACACAGACACACACACAGATACACACAGACACACACACACAGACACATACACAGACACACACATACACACAGACAGATACACACAGATACACACACACACACAGATACACACACACACACACAGACACACACACAGACATACACACACACAGACACACACACACAGATACACACACACACACAGATACACACACAGATACACACACAGATACACATACACACAGATACACATACACACACATACACACAGACACACACACACAGACATACACACAGACATACACACACACACACACAGACATACACACACACAGACACACACACACACACACAGACAGATACACACAGACACACACACAGATACACAGACACATACATACACACACACACGTACACAGATACAGATACACAGACACACACATATATACACACACATACACACACACATACACACACACAGATACACAGACACACACATACACACACACATATACACACACACAAACACACGCGCACGCAGAATGACTGAGTGGATGACCGAGTGAGTGAATCATCATCACCACCATCACCACCATCACCACCACCACAATCATCACCACAATCATCACCATCACCACCACCATCACCACCACCATCACCACCACCATCACCACCACCACCATCACCACCACCACCCCCACCACCATCACCACCACCATCACCACCACCACCATCACCACCACCACAATCATCACCACCACCATCACCACCACCACCATCACCACCACCATCACCACCACCACCATCACTGTGTGTGTGGTTACCTGCTGTAGCAGCTTACGCACTCCGTAGAAGTCGGAGTGTGTGAAGGCGTGAGCCTCAAACTCCACCATCACCTCCTGGACAGGGGGGAGGGGTCACGGGGAGGGGTCACGGGGAGAGGTCACGGGGTGGGGTCACGGAGAGGGGTCACGGGGAGGGGTCACTCACTCATTCACCACCACCACCATCACAACCACCACTGCACCACCACTCCCCATACACAACAACCACCACCACAGCTCCCCATACACCACAACCACCACCACAGCACCGCTCCTCACACACCACAACAACCACAACAGCTCCTCACACACTACAACAACAACCATAACAACAACCACTACCACTACACCACCACTCCCCATACACAACCACCACCACCACCATCACAACCACCACAACCACCACTCCCCATACACAACCACCACCACCACCATCACAACCACCACAACCACCACTCCCCATACACAACCACCACCACCACCACAGCCGCCACAACCACCACAGCACCACCGCTCCCCACACACCACAAACACCACCACCGCTCCCCACACACCACCACAACAACCACAACAACAACCACCACTACCACTGCACCACCGCTCCCCATACACAACCACCACAACCACCACCACCGCTCCCCACACACCACAACAACCACAACAGCTCCTCACACACTACAACAACAACCATAACAACAACCACTACCACTGCACCACCACTCCCCATACACAACCACCATCACAACCACCACAGCACCACCGCTCCCCACACACCACAACCACCACCACAGCTCCTCACACACCACAACCATAACAACAACCACTACCACTGCACCACCGCTCCCCATACACAACCACCACAGCCACCACCACAACCATCACAACCACCACCACTCCCCACACACAACCACCACAGCTCCTCACACACCACAACAACCACCACAGCTCCTCACACACCACAACCACTGCACCACCGCTCCCCATACACCACCACCACAACCACCACTGCACCACCGCTCCTCACACACCACAACAACAACCACAACAGCTCCTCACACACCACAACCACCACCACAACCACCACTGCACCACCGCTCCTCACACACCACAACAACAACCACAACAGCTCCTCACACACCACAACAACCACCACCACCGCTCCTCACACACACACCACAACAACCACAACCACCATCACCTCGTCAATGTCGTCGCTTCCACTGCCGCTGCAATCATCATCATCACAATCATCCTCATCTCGCTCCTCTTCCTCCTCCTCCTCGTCATCATCATCGTCATCGTGCTCGTCAGGACTTCTATGAATCCTCTTGGGCGCGGACGCCATTGAGAGATGAAGAGGTGATGGTGGTGGTGATGAAGATGATGAGGTGGTTGTGGTGGTGTAGGTTGTTGTTGTGGTGGTAGTTGTAGTGGTAGTTGTGGTGGTGTAGGTTGTTGTGTTTGTGGTTGTAGTTGTGGTGGTTGTAGTGGTAGTTGTGGTGGTGTAGGTTGTTGTTGTGGTGGTAGTTGTGGTGGTAGTTGTAGTTGTGGTGGTAGTTGTGGTGGTAGTTGTGGTGGTGTAGGTTGTTGTTGTGGTGACAGAGAAAGTTGTGGTGGAAGATGAAGAGGAGTTGATGGTGGTGATGAAGATGAGGTGGTTGTGGTGGTGTAGATTGTTGTTGTTGTGACAGAGAAAGTTGTGGTGGTGGAGAAAGATGAAGCGTTGATGGTGGTGGTGGAGACAGACACGTGCCGGAAGTGGCAGGAGACACGTGCCGGAAGTGGCAGGAGACACGTGCCGGAAGTGGACCATCTACCGCTTCCGGTTAGAGTGACGTCACGATAATGGCGTGGGGGCGAGGGTGAAGCGGGCGGCCATCTTGCCAAGGGGCAGATTCAGGGGAAATTCATAGAGAGACTCAGAGAGACTCACGCAGACTCATAGAGACACTCATAGAGACACTCATAGAGACACTCAGAGAATAATAGAGATCCATAGAGACTCATACACTCATAGAGTCACTCATAGAGACTCATAGAGATCCATAGAGACACTCAGAGAGACTCACGCAGACTCATAGAGATACTCATAGAGAATAATAGAGATCCATAGAGACTCATAGAGACTCACACACTCATAGAGTCACTCATAGAGACTCATAGAGATCCATAGAGACACTCAGAGAGACTCACGCAGACTCATAGAGACACTCATAGAGACACTCATAGAGATTAATAGAGATCCATAGAGACTCATAGAGACTCACACACTCATAGAGTCACTCATAGAGACTCATAGAGATCCATAGAGACACTCAGAGAGACTCACGCAGACTCATAGAGACACTCATAGAGACACTCATAGAGATTAATAGAGATCCATAGAGACTCATAGAGACTCACACACTCATAGAGTCACTCATAGAGACTCATAGAGATCCATAGAGACACTCAGAGAGACTCACGCAGACTCAAGAGACACTCATAGAGACACTCATAGAGATTAATAGAGATCCATAGAGACTCATAGAGACTCACTCACTCATAGAGTCACTCATAGAGACTCATAGAGATCCATAGAGACACTCAGAGAGACTCACGCAGACTCACAGAGACACCCATAGAGAATAATAGAGATCCATAGAGACTCATAGAGATTCATAGAGAGACTAACACAGAGACTCAGAGAGACTTATGGAGTCTCACAGACACTCATTGACTCACTCACAGAGACCCACTACCAAGATGGCCGACTCAAAGCCTCCCAGTTCCACCATTACCAAGATGGCCAACTCAAAGCCCCCGAGTTCCACCCTTACCAAAATGGCCGACTCAAAATTTCCACCGGCTTCCTCCTTACCAAGATGGCTGACTAAGAACGAGTCCTCCCCCCTTACCAAGACGGCCGACTCAAAATTCCCGAAGTCCCCACCCCTTGCTAAGGTGGCCGGCTCAATATTTTCCGAGTTCCACCCCCTTACCAAGATGGCCGACTTAAAATATCCGCGTTCTCCCCCCCCCCTTACCAAGATGGCCGACTCAGAAAACCTCCGAGATTCTCGCCCCCTTACAAAGATGAGCGACTCAAAATCTCCGAGTCCCGCCCCTTACAAAGATGGCCGATTGAGTGGAGAGGGGGCGAGACAGAGTGGAGTGGGGGCGGGGTAATGACACCGGTGGACGGTGGCCGAGGCGTGGACATTTTTTGTTGTTCTGGCGTTTCGTAAATAGCGAACGACACTGCCCTCGAACGCAAAACTAAAAACCTGCATTCAAAACATTTCACGTTCGTACAGCGGTGGTGGGTGGGAGTGGTGGGTGGAAGTGTGGGTGGGAGTGGTGGGTGGAAGAGGTGGGTGGGAGTGGTGGGTGGAAGTGTGGGTGGGAGTGGTGGGTGGAAGAGGTGGGTGGGAGTGGTGGGTGGAAGAGGTGGGTGGGAGTGGTGGGTGGAAGAGGTGGGTGGGAGTGGTGGGTGGAAGTGGTGGGTGGGAGTGGTGGGTGGAAGAGGTGGGTGGGAGTGGTGGGTGGAAGTGTGGGTGGGAGTGGTGGGTGGAAGAGGTGGGTGGTAGTGGTGGGTGGAAGAGGTGGGTGGGAGTGGTGGGTGGAAGTGCGGGTGGGAGTGGTGGGTGGAAGAGGTGGGTGGAAGAGGTGGGTGGGAGTGGTGGGTGGGAGTGGTGGGTGGAAGTGTGGGTGGGAGTGGTGGGTGGAAGTGGTGGGTGGAAGTGATGGGTGGAAGTGTGGGTGGGAGTGGTGGGTGGAAGAGGTGGGTGGAAGTGTGGGTGGAAGAGGTGGGTGGAAGAGGTGCAAAAGGTGGGTGGGAGAGGTGGGTGGGAGTGGTAGTTGTGGTGGTTGTGGTGGTTGTTGTTGTGGTGGTGGTAGTTGTGGTGGTTGTTGTTGTGGTGGTGGTAGTTGTGGTGGTTGTTGTTGTGGTGGTTGTTGTGGTAGTTGTGTTGGTGGTAGTTGTGGTGGTTGTTGTAATTGTGGTGGTAGTTGTGGTGGTGGTAGTTGTGGTGGTGGTAGTTGTGGTGGTTGTTGTTGTGGTAGTAGTTGTGGTGGTGGTAGTTGTAGTTGTTGTGGTGGTGGTAGTTGTGGTGGTTGTTGTGGTAGTTGTAGTGGTGGTAGTTGTGATGGTGGTAGTTGTGGTAGTGGTAGTTGTAGTGGTTGTTGTTGTGATTGCGAGTTTACAAATCCTCAACGACATCTTCATTGCGAAACGCACGTGGGGTGGTGGTGATGGTGGTGGTGATGGTGGTGGTTGTTGTGGTGGTGGTGGTTGTTGTGGTGGTTGTGGTTAGCGGGCTGCTGATGTACAGACGTTGCCTGGACGTTCGTGGCCTGCAGGTTCACTGACTGAACGTTCCCTGAACGTCGCCTGGACGTTCGCCTAGAGACGGTGAACACTGTGTTAGTGTGTGTGTTAGTGTGTGTGTGTGTTAGTGTGTGTGTGTGTTAGTGTGTGTGTGTGTTAGTGTGTGTGTGTTAGTGTGTGTGTTGTGTGTGTGTGTGTTGTGTGTGTGTTGTGTGTGTGTGTGTTAGTGTGTGTGTTAGTGTGTTAGTGTGTGTTAGTGTGTGTGTGTTAGTGTGTGTGTGTTAGTGTGTGTGTTAGTGTGTGTGTGTTAGTGTGTGTGTTAGTGTGTGTGTGTTAGTGTGTGTGTTAGTGTGTGTGTGTTAGTGTGTGTGTTAGTGTGTGTGTGTTAGTGTGTTAGTGTGTGTGTGTTAGTGTGTGTGTGTTAGTGTGTGTGTGTTAGTGTGTGTGTTAGTGTGTGTGTGTGTTAGTGTGTGTGTTAGTGTGTGTGTGTGTTAGTGTGTGTGTGTTAGTGTGTGTGTGTGTTAGTGTGTGTGTGTGTTAGTGTGTGTTAGTGTGTGTGTGTTAGTGTGTGTGTGTTAGTGTGTGTGTGTTAGTGTGTGTGTGTTAGTGTGTGTGTGTTAGTGTGTGTGTGTTAGTGTGTGTTAGTGTGTGTTAGTGTGTGTGTGTTAGTGTGTGTGTGTTAGTGTGTTAGTGTGTGTGTTAGTGTGTGTGTTAGTGTGTGTGTTAGTGTGTGTTAGTGTGTGTTAGTGTGTGTGTTAGTGTGTGTTAGTGTGTGTGTTAGTGTGTGTGTGTTAGTGTGAGTTAGTGTGTGTTAGTGTGTGTGTGTTAGTGTGTGTGTTAGTGTGTGTGTTAGTGTGTGTGTGTTAGTGTGTGTGTGTTAGTGTGTGTGTGTTAGTGTGTGTGTGTTAGTGTGTGTGTGTTAGTGTGTGTGTGTGTGTTAGTGTGTGTGTTAGTATGTGTGTGTTAGTGTGTGTGTGTTAGTGTGTGTGTTAGTGTGTGTGTTAGTGTGTGTGTTAGTGTGTGTGTGTTAGTGTGTGTGTGTTAGTGTGTGTGTTAGTGTGTGTGTTAGTGTGTGTGTGTGTTAGTGTGTGTGTGTGTTAGTGTGTGTGTTAGTGTGTGTGTGTTAGTGTGTGTGTGTTAGTGTGTGTGTGTGTTAGTGTGTGTGTGTGTTAGTGTGTGTGTGTGTGTGTTAGTGTGTGTGTGTTAGTGTGTGTGTTAGTGTGTGTGTGTTAGTGTGTGTGTTAGTGTGTGTGTTAGTGTGTGTGTGTGTTAGTGTGTGTTGTGTTAGTGTGTGTGTGTTAGTGTTGTGTGTGTTAGTGTGTGTGTGTGTTAGTGTGTGTGTGTGTGTTAGTGTGTGTGTGTTAGTGTGTGTGTGTGTGTTAGTGTGTGTGTTAGTGTGTGTGTGTTAGTGTGTGTGTTAGTGTGTGTGTTAGTGTGTGTGTGTGTTAGTGTGTGTTGTGTTAGTGTGTGTGTGTTAGTGTTGTGTGTGTTAGTGTGTGTTGTGTTAGTGTGTGTGTGTTAGTGTTGTGTGTGTTAGTGTGTGTTAGTGTGTGTTAGTGTGTGTGTGTTAGTGTGTGTGTGTGTTAGTGTGTGTGTGTTAGTGTGTGTGTGTAAGTGTGTGTGTGTGTTAATGTGCGTGAGTTAGTGTGTGTGTTAGTGTGTGTGTTAGTGTGTGTGTTAGTGTGTGTGTGTTAGTGTGTGTGTGTTAGTGTGTGTGTGTTAGTGTGTGTGTGTTAGTGTGTGTGTTAGTGTGTGTTATGTGTGTGTGTGTTAGTGTGTGTGTGTTAGTGTGTGTGTTAGTGTGTGTGTGTGTGTGTTAAGTGTGTGTGTGTGTGTTAGTGTGTGTGTTAGTGTGTGTGTGTGTTAGTGTGTGTGTTAGTGTGTGTGTGTTAGTGTGTGTGTGTTAGTGTGAGTTAGTGTGTGTGTGTTAGTGTGTGTGTGTGTTAGTGTGTGTGTTAGTGTGTGTGTTAGTGTGTGTGTGTGTTAGTGTGTGTGTGTTAGTGTGTGTGTTAGTGTGTGTGTGTGTGTTAGTGTGTGTGTGTTAGTGTGTGTGTTAGTGTGTGTTAGTGTGTGTTAGTGTGTGTGTGTGTTAGTGTGTGTGTGTGTGTTAGTATGTGTGTGTTAGTATGTGTGTGTTAGTGTGTGTGTGTGTTAGTGTGTGTGTTAGTGTGTGTTAGTGTGTGTGTGTGTTAGTGTGTGTGTTTTTGTGTGTGTGTTTTTGTGTGTGTTAGTGTGTGTGTGTGTGTGTGTTAGTGTGTGTTAGTGTGTGTTAGTGTGTGTGTGTTAGTGTGTGTGTGTTAGTGTGTGTGTTAGTGTGTGTTAGTGTGTTAGTGTGTGTGTTAGTGTGTGTTAGTGTGTGTGTGTGTTAGTGTGTGTGTGTTAGTGTGTGTGTTAGTGTGCGTGTGTGTGTTAAGTGTGTGTGTGTGTTAAGTGTGTGTGTGTTAGTGTGTGTGTGTTAGTGTGTGTTAGTGCGTGTTAGTGTGTGTGTGTTAGTGTGTGTTAGAGTGTGTGTGTTAGAGTGTGTGTGTTAGTGTGTGTGTTAGTGTGTGTGTTGGTGTGTGTGTTGGTGTGTGTGTTAGTGTGTTAGTGTGTGTTTTTGTGTGTGTTAGTGTGTGTGTGTTAGTGTGTGTGTGTTAGTGTGTGTGTGTTAGTGTGTGTGTGTTAGTGTGTGTGTGTGTTAGTGTGTGTGTGTTAGTGTGTGTTAGTGTGTGTGTGTGTTAGTGTGTGTGCTAGTGTGTTAGTGTGTGTGTTAGTGTGCCGGACGGGCAACTCTGTCGTGGACAGCGCTGTGGGGGGAGATCCAATTTTGATTGGCTCCTCCCCTCATGGCAAATGTGTCCACCACAGGGGCTAAACGGGGGCTCTGGACGGGTGCGAGGGGCTGGTAACCCCTCCACCTTCAATTAATTACCACGAAACTACGAATTCAACTGAAATATGTAACAACTAAGCTTGTGCCGGAGGCCCCGGGGGGCCAGGCGTCTATGACGTCTCCTGGCCAAACCCCAATTGGCGGAGCCAGGAGATTGAATACCTACCCTCGGGGCTACTCCAGAAACAACGAAAAGCCACTACGGTTGGCCACGTGGAATGTTCGAACGCTCACTGCAGAGGAGAGGCTGCCACTCCTCTGTCGGGAGCTGGACCGGTACCGCCTGGATCTATGCGGCATTCAGGAGGTCCGGTGGACCGGCTCTGGCTCCTGCCACCATGAGGGGTGGACAGTCCTCTACTCGGGGCAGCAGACTGCCAAACAACAGGGTGTGGGTCTTCTTTTGAACAAAAGAATGAAGGGGGCGTGGGAGCGTGGCGGTGAGGTGTGGGAAGCTGTAAGCCCCAGGCTACTTTGGGCTCGCCTTCCCATCAACCGGAGGCGAGGAATGGTGGTCGTGGTTACTTATGCCCCCACCGAAGATGAACATCCGTGGAGGGATGCAGGCAAAGCCGATGAGTCAGATGCCTTCTATGACCTCCTGTCACAGGTGCTGGCTAAAGTGGCCCCTCGGGATAGAGTCATCATGTTGGGTGACTTCAATGCCCGAGTTGGTCATGATACTGGCACCTGGTCTGGAGTGATTGGAGGGCATGGGCCAGATCAGCTCAATAACAACGGTAGGAGGCTGCTAGATTTTTGTGCAGCCCATGGGCTTGTAATTACCAACACGCTGTTCCGGCATCGGCGCATCCACACAACATCATGGATGCATGCCGGGTCCAAGCAAGAACATCTGCTGGATTACATAGTGACGGACCAGCGAATGCGAGCCCATGTCCTTGACACCAGGACCTACCGTGGAGCTGATCTGCCCTCTGACCATCGACTAGTCATCTGTAAGATGCGCCTGCCATTCTTCCACTCCGGTGGTGGGTGTACACCCAGGACCCCATTCCAACCTAAAGTGGCCTGGTCTCAGTTATCTGATGAAAGTTGCAAGCGAGAATTTCATCATCGCTTGCGGCTGGGATTGGCATCGTCCCCGACTCCTCCTGATGTCGAGGGTAAATGGGCGAGGTTTAGGACTGTGACTCATGCAGCTGCAATGGCTGCTTTGGGTACGCGGTCCAGACCTCCCCAGACACCCTGGATGACAGAGGAGTTGTTCACGATGGTTGAGAAAAAGCGACAGGCCCACTGTCATCGGCTACAGAATCCCACGTCAGAGAATGAGGAGGCTTACCGCAGCCTTCGCTCGGAGGTTCGGAGAGCCGTGAGGCGCTGCAAGGATGGGTGGTGGTCGCGGGTTGCTGAGGAGATGGAGTCTGCCTCAGTGGCCCGTGATCACAAATCTCTATTTAACTCCATCAAAAAAGTAACCTGCAGCGCCACACCTATTACCATCATTAGGGGAAAAAACGGTGATCCAATTTCCGACCCCCAGGAACAGGTTCGCAGATTTGCTGAGCATTTCTGTGAGATCCTGGGGGAGGGAAAATCCCTCAGCCAGGAAAACATCGTGGCACAAAGTGAGGATGACCCTGCTGAGGCTGCGGTGCCTCAAATATTGGATGAAGTCAGCCCCTGTGAGTGGCTGGCTGAGGTGCCATCTGCTGAGGAAGTATTGAAGGCGATCCGGAGTCTGAGACCAGGAAAGGCAGCGGGCAGAGATGATCTCCCAAGCGAAATGCTGAGGGAGGGTGGCGTTTGTGCACAGACTGCCCTATATGACATCATAACAACAGTCTGGACCACTGGACGGGTTCCGCAGGATTGGAAGGATGCCCTGGTGGTCCCCCTTTTTAAGAAGGGGGACCGCACAGACTGTAACAACTACAGGGGCATCTCACTCCTCAGTGTGCCGGGAAAGGTCCTGGCAAGGATTATTCAGCATCGCCTTGCCAGGCACGCTGAGGAGAGGCTTGCGGAGCCCCAATGCGGTTTCAGGAAAGGGCGGTCCTGCACAGATGCCATATTTTCTGTCCGTCTGCTACAGCAGAGGTGTAGGGAATTCCAACAAGACCTACATCTCTGCTTTATTGACCTGGTCAAGGCCTATGATACCATCAGTAGGCCTGGGCTCTGGGTCGTTCTTCGTGCTTTTGGAGTACCTGACCCTCTGCTCACGATCATTAAGGACCTTCATGAT